GCGCCTGCACCCCCCGGACGGCGGCCTTGACCTTGCGCCAACCCAAGTGGTTGAGCTCGGCCAAGTTGAGGAGGACGCAAACGCCGCTGACGGCGAACATGAAAACCAAAAAGACGGTTTTTTCGGTGGGGCGGGAAACGTAACACTCCACCTCCTTGACGCAAGGATAGCGGTCGCACTCGAAGATGGCCGGTACGTTGAAACCGTAGAGGAAATACTGACCGGCTAAAAAACCGATCTCCAGGGCGTTACGGAAAACCACCTGGATGACGTAAAACCGAGAAATTCCTTCTTGCCGTTTGGTTTTGGAAGGGCGGGGGGGCCGCGGCGACGGACCCGGCAGCTCTTTGGCCTCCAGGCAGTCGGGTTCCTCCTTGCAGCCCCCCTCGGGGCTGGGCGCCAGCACCCCGTTGACCGGTTTGGCTTTTTTGGTTTCCCGGCTCTCCAAGAGCGGGTAGAGGAAGGAATACCGGCGTTCCCGTTGTTTGGCCGACTGGTGGACGGAGTAGGTGATGAAGCAGAGGCTGGGGGTGCAGACCAGGATGATCTGGAAGACCCAGTAGCGGATGTGGGAGATGGGGAAGGCTTTGTCGTAACAGGCCTGGTTGCAGCCCGGCTGCAGCGTGTTGCACATGAACATGGTCTGTTCGTCCTCGTACACCGTCTCGCCCACGATGGCCACGATGAGGATGCGGAAGATCACCACCACCGTCAGCAGGATCCTGCGAGGGAGGAGGGAGGGACGGGGTGCGACCACCCGGATGCGCGGGTCCTACTTGGACCCAGACGCGTGGGTTGGACCTGGACGTGTGGGTCCTACCTGGACACGTGGGTTGGACCTGGAGACCTGGGTCCTACCTGGACCCAGGGGCGTGGGTTGGACCCGGATGTGTGGGTCCTACCTGGACGTTGGTTGGACCTGGACACATGGGTCCTACCTGGACCCAGACATGTAGGTGAGATGTGGACACGTGGGTCCTACCTGGACCCAGACACGTGGGTTGGACTTGGACATGTGGGTCCTACCTGGACACGTGGGTTGGAACTGGAGACCCAAGTCCTACCTGGACCCAGACATGTAGGTGAGATGTGGACACGTGGGTCCTACCTAGACCTGGACACATGGGTCCTACCTGGACGTGTGGGTTGAACCTGGAGACCTGAGTCCTACCTGGACCCAGACACGTGGGTCCTTCTTGGATCTGCACGTGTGGGTTGGACCTGGAGACCCAAATCCTACCTGGACCCAGAAACGTGGGTCCTACCTGGATACGTGGGTTACACGTGAACACATGGGTCCTACCTGGACCTGGAGACGTGGGTTGGACCTGGACAGGTGAGTCCTACCTGGACCTGGAGGTGTGGGTTGGACCTGGAGAGCTGGGGCCTACCTGGACCCAGATACGTGGGTCCTACCTGGACACGTGGGTTAGATGTGAACGTGTGGGTCCTACCTGGACCTGGAGGTGTGGGTTGGACCTGGAGAGCTGGGGCCTACCTGGACCCAGATACGTGGGTCCTACCTAGACAGGTGGGTTGGACCTGGAGACCCAAGACCTACCCGGACCCAGACATGTGGGTCCTACCTGGACACATGGGTTGGACCTGGAGACGTGGGTACTACCTGGACCTGCACGTGTGAGTTGGACCTGGAGAGCTGGGTCCTACCTGGACCCAGATACGTGGGTCCTACCTAGACAGGTGGGTTGGACCTGGAGACCCAAGACCTACCCGGACCCAGACATGTGGGTCCTACCTGGACACATGGGTTGGACCTGGAGACGTGGGTACTACCTGGACCTGCACGTGTGGGTTGGACCTGTAGAGGTGGGTCCTACGTGGCCAGCAGGATGGGTGGGTCGAACTGGGACACGTGGGTCGAACTGGGACACGTGGGTCACCCCAGGCCACGTGGGTCCTACCTGGACGTGTGGGTGGGAGCAGACACGTGGGTCCTACCTGGATCAGACACGTGGGGCTGACCCAGACCCCCAGGTCCCATCTGCACCTCCGGGGGCTTCCCAGCCCCCCCTCTCCACGTGCCACCACCCCTGACCTTCACCCGTCCCGGTCGATACTCGTCCCTCGGGGCTGCGGGGTGGGGACGAGGGGGTGGGATTGTCCCGTCCCCCCCTGGTCCCGGCCCGGTCGATACTCGTCCCTCGGGGCTGCTGGGTGGGGCCGAGGGGGGTGGGATGTCCCGCCCCCCCCTGGGGGGCAGCGGGACCCCCAGGTGCCCTACAGGAGTGGGGGGTGGAGGTTTGGGGGGACATGGGGACACGGGTTTGGGGACAGGGTGAAGGATTTGGGGACATGGTGCAGGTTTGGGGACAAGAGGTGGAGGGTTTGGGGACGGGGTGCGGGTTTGGTGGACACGGGGTACAGGTTTGGGGACAAGAGGTGCGGGTTGGGGGACACAACACGGGTTTGGGGACAAGAAGTGTGGATTTGGGGACACAGCGTGCAGGTTTGGGGACACGGTATGGGTTTGGGGACAGAGGGTGCAGAGTTTGGGGACACAATGCGGGTTTGGGGACATGAGGTACGGGTTTGGGGGGACAGGGTATGGGTTTGGGGACACAGTGCAGGTTTGGGGACGCAAGGTATGGGTTTGGGGACAAGAGGTGCAGGTTTGGGGACAAGAGGTGTGGGTTTGGGGACACGGTGTGCAGGTTTGGGGATAAGAGGTGTGGATTTGGGGACAGGGAGTGGAGGTGTGGGGACACGGTATGGGTTTGGGGACACGGTGTGCAGGTTTGGGGACACGGTATGGGTTTGGGGACAGAGGGTGCAGAGTTTGGGGACACAATGTGGGTTTGGGGACACAGTGTGCAGGTTTGGGGACAAGAAGTGTGGATTTGGGGACAGAGAGTGCAGGTTTGGGGACACGGTATGGGTTTGGGGACACGGTGTGCAGGTTTGGGGACACGGTATGGGTTTGGGGACAGAGGGTGCAGAGTTTGGGGACACAATGCGGGTTTGGGGACACAGTGTGCAGGTTTGGGGACAAGAAGTGTGGATTTGGGGACAGAGAGTGCAGGTTTGGGGACACGGTATGGGTTTGGGGACACGGTGTGCAGGTTTGGGGACACGGTATGGGTTTGGGGACAGAGGGTGCAGAGTTTGGGGACACAATGCGGGTTTGGGGACACAGTGTGCAGGTTTGGGGACAAGAAGTGTGGATTTGGGGACAGAGCGTGCAGGTTTGGGGACACAGTGTGCAGGTTTGGGGACACTGTGCAGGTTTGGGGACACAGGGTGAGGGTTTGGGGACATACAGGGACCTTCTCCCGTCCCCCACCTGCCCCTCCCGGGGGACACGGGGTCCCCAATACGTGGCTGACGCCCCCCCACCCCCCGTGGGACCGACCCCACGCGGGAAGGGCCCCCCGGGCTGTGACCGTCCCCACGGTGTCCCTTGTCCCGCCTGTCCCCGTTAGCACCGCTGCCACCTCCTGCCAGCGGGGAGGTGACAGCGTGTCCCTCTGCGTCCCCCCCCCCCACCCGAGCCCACCCATGGGGGGGGGGG